CCAGGGCAATTCTGGTTTCCTAGCCTTCTTCAGTTGTTAGCTCATCTACCTGTCAACGTTCCAGACCTTCCCAGACCTGTTGACACAACACAAAGGCAGAATCAAGCATTCCAATCCAGACTCACTGCACTGCCAACCTGGTGTTTGCATGAGCATTGAGCTTAGAGAGTAAATGCTTGAGAGATATCCAGAAATGTCCAGGCTATTCTCAACAGTAGTAGAAAGGAGTCTACTAAAATGCAGTTGTGCAGTCAAGTGGAAATGATTTTTCCATGTGGGCTCATAACCAGCACACTTCTTCAGAGGAATCAGATATCCCTGCTATCCTGGACTACCTCCTATCCTTAAAGACCTCAGGACTCTCTCTCAACTCAATATGCATTCACTTTGTAGCTATCAGTACCTGCCATTCCCTGATCAATAACTACTCAATTTTTGCACATCCTATTACTCTCTGCTTCCTGAAATGCTTGCTTCAGACCATTCCACCTGTAAACAAACCACCTCCAATGTGGGACCTTAATCTTGTCCTATCAACGATCATGAAAACTCCATTTAGCATCCAGCTTGCTATAGCATCTCTCTATGAAAGTAGCCTTTTTAATAGCCACCACCTCTGTGAGATGGGTGGGAGAGCTAGGAGCCCTTATGGCAGATAAACTATACACAGTTTTACACAAGGATAAGATCATATTGAGACTGCCAACTAAGTTTACTCCCAGGGTGATTTCGGACTTTCACCTCAAACAATTAACTTACATACCTTCTTTCAGAACCATATGCTTCTAATGAAGACGAATGTCTACGTTCCCTGGATAGTCTCAGAGCAGTGATTTTCTATCTGCAGAGGACAAAACTGTTCAGAAAGAAACCTAGGTTATTGTTTCGTTTAGCAGAATAGATGAGAAGTAAAGCTGTAATATCCCAAAGGCTCTCTGAATGGATATCTGGATGCAACTTCCTGTGTTATGAGTTAGCCAACACTAGCTCACCACAAGATGTGAGAGTTCGCTCTTCCAGAGCCCAGGCAGCTTCAGTATCTTGTTGAAAGATGTTCACATTGGTAAAACTGGCAAAGCTGCCACGTGGAGCTTGATACATACCTTTTCCGGACACTTAAGCTATAGTTCAGGCCTCGGCAACTGAAGCTTCCCTGGATATTGTTGTGCTCATGTTGGCTGTTTTCCCTCTGTTGTCCTCGCATGCACCTCAGTAATAGATACTGCTCCTTGATAACCCACACTGGAATACAAATAGGGACCAGCATTTGAAGAAGAAAGTAAAGTTACTTACCTGTTCTGTAACTAGAGTTCTTCAAGATGTGTGGCCCCTATCTGTATTCCAGTACCTGCCCCCGCTTCCCCTCTGCTTCAGGGCATGACTTGATTTTTGGTAGCAAAGGAACTGGAGAGGCAGTTAGTCCTCACTGCCCATTGTTTCCTTGGATCAGTGCACAAAGAGGTGAATGGCATAGGTGTGGATCAATGGATGCTGCTGGAAAAAAATTTCAACCTCAGGTGTATGGTATGTATCTGTACCCATAGTGGAATACAGATAGGACCACACCTCTCTAAGAACTCTAGTTACAGAACAAGAAAGTATCCTCCCTTTATTGCTGTTGTCACTGTCCAGGGCATTGCTTTCTTGTCCTGCTGGCAGTTATATCCATTACATTTTTTCAACCTTATAAACCACCTTCAAACTTTTCTACTCTCCTTGGGTTGGGGAGTTCACGGGGAGAAAGTTCATCTCTGGAGAAAATAAAATTACTTAGCAGTAATTATTTTTCTCTGAAGATATATATGAAATCTCCCAGTAGATGGCTATTTCCCCACCCTCTTCTCCTCATTGTTTAGAGTGTTCTGTAATTTTTTGCATAATTTTTTAAACTGTATTTTAATTGACTTTATTTTTGGAAATTACCTCTTCCTGTTTTTTTTTTTTTTTTTTTAAGGAACTGACAAGAGAGCATAGGGCATTGACCCCAGAACTTTGTGAGTTGCCCCTAAGGGTTCCCCAGAGGCTTAGAACTTTTACCCATAGGAATTCCTGCCTGGTCAGATGCTGGAAGCACAGAGCCAAAAATGTTAATGCATTATAATATATAGTTTCAGAGAATAAGTATTACAGTTAAGTAATTTATCTCTAGTAGGCAGTAGTTCATGACACAATTTGGAATTTGCCTAGAACAACAGGTCAAATGCTCCTCTTGTTGCATAAAATGCTGCAGAATTTAGAAGCATGAGGAGAATATTTGAATAGTGTTTTTACATCTTAAAAGTTGTATAAGTATTAATCCTCACAACACCCTTGGCAGAAAGGTAAATATTACCCACATTTTACATATGCAGAAACTAAGATTCAGAGGGATTAAGTAATTTGCCCAAATGCACACAGGCCCAATCTCAGTTCACTAGATTACGTGTATTTAAGGGCTCAGTTTTATTTCCCATCTGAAAACTAACAATAGCTCTACATTGTAATAGTGAAAGTGCCGTATTATACCAGTGGTTTTCAAACAGTGAACTATTGGTGGTCAACAGAGTATTTCTAGAATTACAACTTTCACAAGGGAGAAACATCTGTCTGTCTTTAAATGCTGATATTTCCAGGAGTATAGAATAGAATCATTGTAGGATTTCCAGTGACTTTCGGCCAACTACACTTCAAATAAGCAGAGTTGTCCTCAATCCCAATCTCTTAGTCCTGTCAGATTGCTTCATACTTATCTTTGTTGGATATTTTGGGGCATAAATTTCATCATGCAGATCCAAAATTGGAAGGGTACCAAACAAACAAAGCAGATCCAAACTGCAACATGGAGAGAGTAAAACTGTTGAGTGCTGTTGGGATAAGAGGAGACTTAAATACTAATAGTGTAGGGCTTTATTTTAGGTAGAAGATATAAAAATGGGAGGGGAGGGGAAGATGGTCCTACTCAAACTGCTACACCCATTGCACTAAAGTGCATCTTGTCTCTTTAATACTTTCCTCATTTTACTACCTTATATAGCTGATTATTGTAATTTTCACAAGGAAGTTGTGGAAATAAGACTCGGAGGTTGGGAATGGAGCTATCCCTGAGAGGATCTCTATTTTAAGTACTAGTGTACAGTGTGAAGACTTCTGAAAATCCATCGTCTTATGCTTAAACATAGCTGCTCAGGGCTAGGAAGTAGTAGTGGTGGCCACCTGTTCCTCCCCTCTGTGCTGCACTGAGAGTCTTAAAAGAGCATGTCTATATGTACAGCGCTACAGCTGCACCGCTGCAGCGCATCTGGTGAAGATGCTCTATGCCGACAGGAGAGAGCTCTCCCATTGGCGTAATAAAACCGCCTCAGCGAGCGGCAGAAGCTATGCTGGCAGAAAAGCTCTCCCGCTGACATAGTGCTGTCCACACTGGCACTTATGTTGGTGTAACGTATGCCCTGAGTGACACAAGTTATGCCAACATAAACTGTCTTGTAGACATAGCCACAATGTGGATGGGGTGAGGGAGCAGCTCCAGGAGTAGCCTGCAGTAATCAAGGGGAGGAGCTGAAAGGAAAACTTTGCTCACTGCCTGCAGCACTGTTTGGGTGATTGTGACAACAGGGGCAAATGTGTTACTGTCACTCTAGTTGAGTGACACTTGACACTTAAACAAGCGGGAAGTAAAATTCAGAGTTTATGTAAAATATTTCTGTGGGTATATCTCAGGGTTTTTAAAGGTTAGCTCCCCTGGGGTCTAATCTGTAAATTAAATAGCTTATCAGACACAGTTATGCTATGCTGCTTAACAGTGATCTTGACTGGGGAATGTAGCTGAAGTGGCCCCTTCTCCCATATCCATGAGCTGATTTTGAGCTTGTAGGCTTCTACTGCCTCTTTGTGTTTTGCTGGTGAAAGTACATTAGATACTAGAGAGACTAGCCAGCTTGACAGCTCAGCTTCCAGCAGACTGACTGAAAAGAGGCATGCTACTGATACAGAGCCAAAAATGGCTTGCTTTCTTTTTTCATGATCCTCACTAATTATTTAAAATATTCTCTAATCTTTATTTTTTCCCCTCTCAAAATGAAATATGCTAAACGCGTCTCTCTTTGAGGGAACACTGCATAGCAAAAAATAGTTAAAATGGAATCCATTTGATGGCTTTTCATGGTCAGAAAGGAAACATAACTGTTCTCTTATGCAATGGACACTTTTTCTTAAAAGGTGTTATACTATTTTGTAATGTTAGATGATTTTTTCTTAAATAGGAATTAAAAATATTTTATAAAAGCATTTTATTAATTGACTATGAAATTTGTCACAATAAAAGGGTTGATTAGCTATCCAAAGTGTTGGTTTAAAGGTTAGATGATAGGTATTTTGCAGATGTGCTCAGGACACACTTTTTGCATGCATTTGGTATTCTGTTCAGTTGCCAGAACTGCTGCTGCCTTGCCATGCTATTGTTTCAGTGTTTGTCCTCTCAAGCAGGCCGCAGGCTACTAACTTTGCCTTTTGATTTTAATATGGCGTAGCTCAGAAGAACAAGAAAAAGTTTACATGTACATCAGCCTACAGTTGCTTTTGTTTATCATTCACGCTGGCAGTCTGAAATGATAACACTTTAAACACTCATGGCAACATCTTACCTACACTGTGGTTTGTCTGTAGTTACTCCCTCACTGAGATACTGCAAAGATTGAATATCTAAACCTGTTTGTAGGATTAGTTCATGTTTTTTAATGTTTTATACCAATAATAAAGGTATTTATTGGTAATATTGTAGAAAGTCCTTTTGACTAAAAGAACACTCTTGCCCCCATCGTAAACAGGATTGGGATAATTAACTCCAGATTAGACCAAAGTTAAGTAATTTAGAGGATGAGTGCTTTGGGGTCCCCTGCCACTCCTTCCTAAACAATTGAGTGGGGCTGGGAGGAAAACATGTGGTTACCATATTGTTGATTCTGCTTTTCATCATATATTTAGAAAGGATAAAATGTGCTTATTTTGTCTCTGTTTTTCAGGGCACCTTTGATGATTACTTGGAGTTGTTCTTACAGTTTGGCTACGTGAGTCTTTTCTCATGTGTGTATCCTTTAGCAGCTGTCTTCGCAGTGCTAAACAACATCACAGAGATGTATTCTGATGCCTTAAAAATGTGCAGGGTCTTCAAACGTCCATTTTCACAACCCACAGCAAATATTGGAGTTTGGCAGGTAACCTGGTTTTCACTTTTTTCTGTTTGCCCTTGTATGTTACCATAAACTTAGGCTGCTTGTTGCTCCATCAATTGATGTTAGAGTGTACTTGAGACACCTCTCCTCTTCAATGCCTTAGGACATTACCCATTTCTAGCAGGATTGTACGGTTTTCAACTATCTGCCATTCTGAGTTGTCTTCCTTAATCCCATCTTCCTTTGGGTTTTTTGGACTGCATATATTGCTTTCATATTGCAGTTGCAAGAGACAGCAGCTTCTTTTTAAGACTGCAGTATCCCATGCAAGTAATAAGATGTTAGTGAGTGTGAAATAGGTTGCGGGTGGTGTCAAGTGGGTGGTCTGTGTTAGACCCAGTTTTATTTAACATCTTCCCTAATAATATGGAAGGGGGGACAAAGAGCACAACAATTAAATTAGTATATTATTTTAAATTGGGAGGTGTTGATAATATTGTGAGGGGGGAAATACAAAATGACAGAAATTAGATATACGAATAGGAAACAACAAAGGAGATTAATCTTGAAAAAATACACAAATCATTTTGAGAAAAAATCATTAGAAATGCACACAGATATTCACTGGGATGGAGTTATATTTGAAGCACTATATTGCTAGATAACACTAAGCGTGATGCTGGACAGCAACTGCACATGGTATACATTTACAGTATGCCTTTTGGGCTGACCACAAAGAAGTAGCCACAACCAGCTAATATTTTAAAACCTTATTGTCTCTGTATGTACTAGGTGTTTAGTGGTCTTTGAAAATGTTTATATTAACTAACATGTTTTAATTTACTTTAAATCACAGTTCCTTTCTGCAGTGTAGATGATCTCTTAGAGAAGTCTTATTGAATTTAATAGGTTTTTTTTACACTCTTTTTATATCATTCTTTTCAGTGAATTGTGGGAATGTGTTTAGTTTTATGAATATAAGAAAGTAAATTCAGGGCTTTTAGTATTTAATTTTGTATATGAGGTGCAGTAGTAAGGTGTTAGATTAGATAGAGAGTATTCTATGTAAAGAACCATTTGAATTATTGTATTGGCCAAGCTGAGTCAATGATTTATTGTCATAGTGAATGTTGTTTCTGCTGATTCATCATGGCAGACACTACATTTTGCCAGTCTCCTTTACTCATAGGAAAATTTCTCATTTATAGGTCAGATTTTCAAAGGTATGCACAATATTGCAGTTATATTAGCATGCACCTATTTTATGCATGCTTTTTAGATTATGAGCTCCTCAGTGCAGGATTCATCTTTCTTGAAAGTGTAGAAAGTTCCTAGCACATGTATGCTACTGTAAATAAAAAATAACATGCACATCCATTTATGTCCGTGTAAATCAGCTGCCTGTGAACATGCACCTAACAAGTCAGTCACCTTGCTGGCGTGCACATGTAAATGCTTGATGTACAGATGAAAGCATAAAATTCTGTGTATTTACGTTTGAAAACATGGCTCATTTTATTCCAACAAGTTTTGGCTGGCGGAACTAGTTGTTTAAAAATCTTATTCTGAATTTCCCTGGTGTTTTCATATACTTAATATTCCAATACTTAATATTGAAGATGCAGTCAAAACCTCAGCACAGGACACCAGAAAATTTCTTTTTAAAGTCAGATTTAAATGCTAAAGTACCCCTGATTAAAACTTCGCTCTTTGACACTGATTACGTCGGAGGTGGCTTTCCCTTAGGAACACACTGTACGCCAGTCAGTCGGGCGGCTGGTCTGTAGGAGTATGTGCCACTGTTTCCATGCTCATGTTCTGGGTCAGATGGAAGTACTAAAGATAGGGATGCCATTTGAGTTAATTCTGATTTTCAGGGAGATGATTTCATATCCTGCAAATCTAGCTTGTGAGATGTAAATGGTCCCAAAACAACTTTCAGGGCCTATGAAATGTTCATCATATTGTGATGAACAGTGCTTGAATTTTCCCCAGCAAACACAAAGAAGAGCCAACCATAGCTGTAGAGCAGTGGTTCTTAACCTTTTACTGCAGCCTGCACCCCTTTGGTTCTCAAAATATGTTCTCACACCCCTTATCAAAAATCAAAATATGTTCTCGCACCCCTTATCAGAAATCATTGAAGTAGGTCAGTTCTTTAAAACTTGATATATTTTTTTGTTTGTGTATTACAGTAATTGTTAAAAAATGTATAATGTTAATAAATACATAGGTTTGATGAAACAAAGTAGTTGTATTTACGTGCCTGTGCTTAATTTGTGTTTTCGATGATTTACCTTCTAAAAAAATCTGGCATGTCTCGCACCCCCAGAAAGGGCATCTTGCACTCCCAGGGCGTGTGTGCACCCCAGGTTAAGAACCACTGCTGTAGAGGTATGGTTTGGAGGGTGCTAATGATGGGTTTTGTGATGGTGTAAGCCTTGTTGCGGACCCTGCTTATGCATTTAAGAGGAGATGTTGACAGGTTCCTGATAGAATCTGTTCAACTTTTCATCCGGTAGAAGTGTAATGTAAAAGAAAAAGGAGGGTAAAAATGTTGGGTGTGTCAGAACTTGTACATGTGGGAGAAACCTTGTCCCAAGAGGAGCAAGAGGACTGGAGGAAGTAGACATATTGATACTAATTATATTCCATTTTTGTTTTATTTCAGTTGGCTTTTGAAACTATGAGTGTTATATCAGTAGTTACTAACTGTGCACTGATTGGATTGTCTCCACAAGTAAATGCACTTTTTCCAGATTCAAAAACGGACCTTATTTTGATTGTGGTATTGGCGGAGGTAAGTATGAGATTTAAATATCTACATGTTTTTTAGTAGCAAATGGCATTTACATCACTTGGAATTTCTAATATCTCATTTGTCATATCTTTTTCTTTCATTTACCAGGAAATGGAAATTCTAGCATCAGAATGGGTTTTTCATTGTTTTACTCTTAGATTAAATTTTTATTCTTGGCGCTTTCATCTACTATGGATGTTGCACCTATGCTCTGCCACATAGTCTGAAATATTATGTGTATGTTGCATTATATATTTCAAGAAGGATTTAATAGTACTAACACAAGAATAAACTTAGTGTAGACATACCCTAATTGAGCTATATTAGGTCAACTTGCAGCCACCTCAGTAATTACTGATGTGGTGCATGTTCACACTACCCTCCTTGGGTCGGTGGACTGTGTCCTCACCAGGAACGCTTGCACTGACCTAAAAGGGGCGGTGTGGGGAGCTGACAGCCCGGTTTCTCAGCTCCGCTGGCAGCTCCCTGCCAGGAGTCTGGCTTCCACACAGGCCCCTGGGCTCTCGCCAGGCTGCCTCCCCCATCCTCTCCCCATTCCCCGCCGAGAGTGGAGGGAAGCCACCTGGGGCTTCTCGCCCCCTGCCCCTGTTCCCTGCGTGGAGCAGCGGAAAGCCTTGCAGCCTTGTCAAATTCACTGCTCATTGAGCTGTGAAATTGACAAGGCTGCCCTGCTTGGTGGGAGGTTGGGGAGAAAGGGCTGCCTCGGGCTTCTCACCCCAGCTGGAAGCTGGGTCCGAAGCCGCCCAGCTCTCCAGAGGAGTGGGGGCAGCAGGGCTCTAACTGTCCAGCTTTCTTGTCACTTTCATGGCTCCTGCCATGAAAGTGACAAGGCAGCTGATGTAAGGGATGCATTGCCTGAACTACATGGACATAAGCCGTACGCTTCTTGTGGAGGTGCAGTTGTTATGTTGGTGAAGTAGGGCATTACATCGGCAGGAGGAAGGCTGTCGTGTAGTCACTGACATAATTAGGTCAACATAAGCTGCTTTACGTCGATGTAACTGTGTAGTGTAGACCAGCCCTTAGTGTATTTTATTCCTTGGGGTCAGATGCTCTCATACTGCGGTTTGTGGCCCCAAAAGATCAATAAAGACTTTTTATGGGGTCTACAGATTGTGTAAATCCATTTTTATTGAGGAAAATCCAGACAAATTATCCAAAAATGTTATAAAAGATGTAAATCAGGTATATAATGTATATAAGATGTAAATTATGACAGAAGGTGAGAAAAATTAAAAGGAGTAAGTGAAAGGGAAAGATTTGAAAAGAAATGGTCACTTGATATTGAGGCTGGAGAGAGAGAGAGGAACGTTCCATATAGCAAAAGACTGGAGAGGAAAAGTGTCCCACCCTAGAATTGGCCAGATTGTGTGAAAGGCAAGAGTGCAGGCTGATGTTGGATGAGCAAATAGTGGGAAGGGGAGTAGGAAGACACTGAGGGCTGGTCTACACTACTGCTTAAGTTGTTGTAAATTACATCTCTCAGGGGTGTGAAGAACTGACATCCTCCTGAGCAAAGCAAGTTATATCGACCAAAGCGCTATCCACGCTGGTGCTATTTGATGGGAGATGCTCTCCAGCTGACATAACTTCCACTTCTCGTGGAGGTGGAGTAATTATGCTAATGGGAGAGCGCTGTTGTAGCGCTGTAGTGTAGACTTGCCCTAAGATTGGAAAGTTTATTCCCAGAGAGAAGAAAGCCATTCAGGAAAGGACAGATCAACTGTTTTAAGAGAAAATGTTATTTCTTGCTTTTCATATACAAATGTAAATTTTGGTTCTGTGCTGTAAAGTTTATAACGGAGTAATTGTACTTGTAAATTGATTTTAGCGTTTGTTTGTTTTAGACTTAATTATTAATAGAAACAAAGATGTTGGAATAATGCATGTAAATAAAATTATTACCATATAGTGCAATCTTTTTATACTTAATTAACATTGAAATCATTCTATAGAACTGGCTAGTCATGATTTGTTTCCCTGAACTGGCTAGCCATGATTAGACATGGTCACTTAGGATTTGAGAAGGTTAAAGTGTGCTTATTTTTTACTTTGTTGTGTAACGTATAGCATTATTTATCATTGTAAGACTATTGATTTATGTTCTCAATTTGTTACAAATTGAGAAAATAGGATCTTTGACTTTGATAACAGGGAATATCTAATTTTGAAAGTGCTTTTGGACATTGCGTGATTGTGGTTGGACCCTTACAAACAGAGGAGAATGAAAACCCTTATACTTGTTTTTTGTTTTTTAGGATTTTTTAAAAATCAGGATGTACTATTTAAAAGCTTGTCAGAAACTGTATGTTTTTAAAATTAATGTTGAAAGTATCACTGCAAACTGGTTCCAGGGTTCCCTTAGATTTACATTGCATTACTAGAAATTGTCTGAGAAATACAATAAGAAAATCACAAAATTAAAAACCTTTTTCAGAAGTTAAGAATGTACTTTTTCTTAAGTTTTAAACAAAGCATAGTAAACCAACTCATGATTGTTTATGTGGATTTTTGTTAGTTATGTCAACTCCAGCTCCCACCACAAAAGAGCGAAAGGAAAAAAATGTTAAAAATGATGTTTAAAAACTTTTTTTAATGTTTCCAGTCTCCCAAAACACATTTTTTTGTAGTCCATTTTTTTTTGAAAAAACTTAAATTTTATATGTTTTGAACTCTACATCCTTCTGAGTCCAAAGTTATCAATATCAATCAGGCAATGGTAGAGTGGACATAATTTTGCAAACTTTCTATAATACAAGTTATTGAGAAATGTTATATGAAGACAGTGGAGTTGAAAGAAAGCTTGTTCTCCAGCTGGTATAAAATATTTGTGGCACAAAGATGTGTATATTGGTAAATTAATTTTTTTAAAAATTGTATTGAAACAGACAAACATCATGGGCTTACTTTTCATTTACATAAGACAATTTACACTGCTCTGGCAATGTAACTTTCTTCATAATTGAAAAGAAATGCACCAGACTGAACCGGTTGTAATTAGCAGTTATGTTGTGACATGTCTGCTCATTGACTGCAAGAGAGAGAGAAAGGGAGAGAGACTGATTGAGTCTTCTGCCAAATACTCCTGAACCCAGGGGAAAATTTCTTGGGCTGGGAATAAGGAGACTATGAGTTCCTATCTCACCTTTGTTGTCAGTTTATATTCCCATATACCTTATCATCACTGTTCCCTCTAAGCTGTGTGCATGTGCGCGCACACACAGATCCTAAACCCCGCACACACAGCAAAACACCGCACGCACAAAAATTTGCACAGAAGCACAACAGTTTGCACAGAAGAAATTTTTTGTGCACACGACCTGTCGAAAATTTGCACAGAAGAAATTTTTTGCACACACAGCCTGTAAAAAATTAGAGGGAACATTGCTTATCATCCTTATTATTGACTAAATCCATGAACTCTTTCTAAAAAGCAGTCAAGGACTAGCACCCATCAAATTCACACTCTAGCAGAAAATCTTAATAGGGACCTCAGCAACATTAAGGCAGAAAAATGTCCCCAATGTGTCAGATGTGCCTATCTGTTGTTAAAAAAGAATCTGAGGTCATTGTGTTAAAGTTTTGCGCTAGAGTGATTGATAAAGTTGGAGTATATATTGCTCTTTCCATCTCCAACAGACGCTAAGTGAAAGCCTAATGGCATTTGGAGTGTTATTACCACTGCGGCGGGCAATATGAAAGGAGTGCAAGAGACTTCTCCCTTAATTTGTTATTTCTGTGCTTTTCAGATTTTGAGTTGTCCTGACTCAACCTTAACTGTCACTAAACAAAGTTTTTGTATATGTTGTAAATGAGAATCTGGCTAAACAGTTCTACCTTTCTTTGATAAAATCAAATTTAATTAAAAACTAAAGAAATTGTACTTTTTGGTTAGAGCCAAGCAACCAGAAAATACATCTTTCTTATTTTCCCCAAAAGGTGTTTTTATTTTAGTAGAATAACAAATATTCTTGAAATTGAACTCATTTGTTTATATAGTAACATCTGACAGTATTCAATACTAAAGGCAGAGTTGCATGACACCATTGTAAGCATTCTGTACCAAACCCTTATATACTTATGAAAAGAAAAAGAGTGTTTTACATTAAAAACCACTAACTATGCCGCTTTCTGCTGTTTCTATGGGAACAAACATGGTATCAGCAAAATCAGAGTAAAGGAATTAAAATATCCAACGTTTCCAAAGTGTTGAAACTGTGATTTTAAAGCAGCTGACCCATTTTCATCAATCCAACATCTGCTTCCATGGCAACATGGTTTGAACTAGCAGTCAGCAGCAGAATTATTGAAAGTCTTTCTTTTCTTTCACTTGTGGATAGATGCTGAATGAGTGCTGCAAGTGCACTTTTCAAACAAATGATTAAAAGTAAATACCTTCAAGCAGTATAAAATCAGCCATCCCCTAACACATCTTTAAAACAGTTACTTGCCATAATAACTGTAGTTCTCTGGGCAAGGTGGGTGAGGTAATATCTTTTATTTAACCAACTTCTGTTGATGAAAGAGACAAGCTTTTGAGCTTACACAGAGCTCTTCTTCAGGTCTCAGAAAGGTATTCCGAGTGTCACAGCTACATCCAAGGTGGAGTGCCCATATCACATATCCACACTCTTTGGGGAAATGTGCCCTGGGTGTGAAAGCCTGGAAATTTCTAGCCTGCAAATGCCCATTGGGTCCAAGTGCATAGCCATCTTCTCCTTTTGTGCAGAAACCCACAAATACAAAAGGGGACTGGACCCAAACTCCCTCTTGTTTCTTACATTAATGTGGTAATACCTGAGAAGTGACTCTGAAGAAGTTTGGTAAGTGGGTGGGGTTTGTGGATTCATAGGAACAATCATCTTGAAGAACTGTAGTTACTATGTTAGGTAACATTTGTCTTTCTTTGAAAATTGCCCATATGGATTTCCACTGTTGATCACTAGTCTAGGAGGTGTGAAGAGTGTTAGTTGAAAACT